ATGCTATAAAACTAATATCTCATGATAGTATTTTCATAGAATTACAAATTAATAGTTTTTTGCGATACCAATCTAAATTCCCTTTGATATCTATGTATAGAAGTAGTATATTTGTGTGTCATTGTGTTATTCATATATCATGAAGAAAAAATCTTGTCAACTAGGTATCAAACTCTATACTTGTGGCCCTTTACTCGACCATGATGAACTCCCTCAGAACGCTTTCATTTCATTATGTTTTTCAAAAAAGAATGTGATATTCGAAATGTTTTGCACATTTTCCTAATTATATCGCAATCTTAGAGTGGTGGAACTTCTGGCAAGGGCTGCATGAACATGATTTGCCCTGGATTTCACAAGACATCATCAAGTATAGCTCCAGGCAATGTCATCAGTCCACTTTCACGCATTGGTGGCCAGAAAAAATATATCACCCTAAGGATATTCAAGGTATGAACCTGCTACTGCAACATCCATGCTAGATTGTTCAAACTGGAATTAAGCAAGTTGACATCGAACAAGATTAAAATCTTGGACATCACAAAGCAATTGTTGTTTTGTGTACGGCGTCACTAAACAAGTTTGGTAACTTTCTCTTAGAATTGCACTTAGTCTAGTTTGTGGTAGTACATAAAAGCTTTATGTATTATCATGAACTCTTTGTCAATTATATGTGAATCATTGCATTTTAGTGTTTATCATATTTTTTTGGAGCCCAAGCACCGAATTATGCCTAGACACGAACAAGTGATGATCATATATGATATATTACGATAAGTGGATACCGTTGCTCTTTGTGTGTAAAAACTTAAATATGTAGACTTAAGATAGTTTGACCTTATACACTACTCCCTCTGTTACCGAATGGAAGACGTGCTTGTATTTATATGTATGCATGTGTGTGTGTGCATGCGCACCCGAGTGTCCAAGTAGTTAGGATAATATACTGCCTTTCTTTATAGTCGTTTGCACACACAAGTTTGTGCAACCATTTTCTTGCGAATAATACTGTATAAAAATGGCAGACGATAAATAGAAAATAATAAGCACTTGATTGAGTCAAATCAAGAGGAAATGCGGCTTCAAAACAAGGAAAAAGGTTCCCTTCTTGAAACTATTTTTCATGCAAAATCTAGTGGTACAAGCTCATAACAAATATTTGATTCAATAATTATTCGTGAAAGACAATGGAGAAATTTTACCGCACTTTTCAACGGTATTAATATGTCATGTATTCTAGAGCGATGGTGGTATCGTTTACTTATGTGGAATGATATGGTGTGTATTTATTGATAAATGCATGCAAGAAAAATATTCAGGTGATTGGTACATCCATTTTGGAGCTAAGGGTGATCCAAAACCAGTAGATTACTTCCCTAAATCCTTGATCCCAGGACTCGTAGATAAACCTTTGGAGATAACCTTTGGTGGCTATGTTAATCATAAGAAACCACGACTGAGTCCTCCAATGGGAAGTGGCTATCTTTCAACAAGTGGCAATGCTGCATCCTTTAGTAATCTCAAGTTTATCGATGTAGACGGTGTTAGTCATATTGTCAATATTGATTTGCCATCTACTGACGATGGGAAGGGTTGCTACACACCTTCAAAAATTGATTCGGCACAATTCTTTTATGGGGGATCCGGTTGTATTGATTAATTATATTATATTTCGCATATGTACTCCAACTACTAATAAGTGATGAAGAAATGAGTCTCCATCTTGTCCTCTCTAAGAATTCAAGTCCTATGTGATTACTTTCTGTTTAATTCATGTTTTAGTATTGCCTTGGAAGTTAGGAGTTTTTGAGATTTTTGCACTTTGCGGGTGCGCTAGGTTTGCTCTGTTACAACTTTTATTTGCCTTAATCTGGTTGATGTAGAACATCATAGTCGCCACGGCCATGGTGAATCCACACGCGCATGCACGCACCAACGCGCACGGGGGAGCTTTTGAACTGAACGACCTCCCTGCCCATGCATTTGGTGATTTTGGCCATTTGATTTTGAGTTCCGGTCGTTTCTGGCCGTTCGATGTTGTGCTATTCCACATATTTCCATTAAATAGGCCACCTGTCCTATAGGGCAGCTCCTTGTTGGAAAATTTGAGCACTCTAGTTAATTGGGCCTGCCAGCTGAAGAAAGCCCACTAAGCAGCTAAAGGTAGAGACACAATGAATCGATACAATGTACTTCGTTCGTTGTTTTTAACAACATCACTTATTTTCGAACGGAGGTAATACTAGAGAAGGGAGCGCGGGGATGCGGGTCCTCTCGAGAATCCTAGGTATGCCGTCACCGCGACTGCCTCCATCGATCTCGCCGTTGGTACTCTTGCAGCTGTCGTTTCCACTCATCCCCACACTCCATCTCTCTTGATCCCTCTATTATTGCGCCCGAGGGTGAATCTTTGTGTGCGACGAGATGGCTGCTGATGTGCAAGGAAGATTCGAAGGGGCAGTGTTACAATCGAAACCCTAACGGACCCGTCGGCGGCGGTGGATGCTTCTCTGATAAAGAGGTCCCTAAGGGGGTCACGTTGCTTCTCCCTCTACCTCCATTACATTCTTATCTTTCCTCGCCCCAATTCGGGGATGAGGACACCACGCAGCAGCGCTGCGGCCTGCGGTCTGCAATTTCTGCTGTGCAGTAGGTTTCACATTGGGTGTGGCTAGATCTTAATCGATACAATTCTCAGTCGTGTGACATAATATATAAAAATAAAAAGGAAATTTCTGCATGGGTCTCCATGTAAAACCTCACGAATATACTCCCTCCTTTCCGGTTTATAGGGCTCAATTCAAAAATCTCACCAACCAAGGTAGATGATAAGTGGTGGAATACTTTTTGTAATTTGCAAAAGCACCCAATTAATGCTCTTGTTTTTCTCAAAAATTTATATTTGCCAATGTATTAATTGCAATGCATGCATGCATAAAGTATATGCATTGGTCAATTTTCTCTTAATAGTTGCATGTAATGATTTAATACACCTTGAAATCTGAACTTGTGATGAGGAACAACCAAATTGAGCCTTATAAAATGGAAAAACTAAGATTTTGAGACAAGCCCTATAAACCGGAAAGGAGGGAGTAATACGGTTTGAGTCTTGAGTCGACTCAGATGACTCAGATTTAGCAATCCCGCTCCACATTAGTACATTGTGTCATACACGCACGTACATATACTCCACGGTCCACAGAAAGCATATATCTATACACAGGCACACAGTTATTAACACGAGACCTCACACATCCGGCGCAACGCGGTAAAAGAAACTAAGAAAGAAGAAAAATCACGGTGAAGGATGCAGTTGGGAACCCGGGAATTCTACAGGACCTCGATCTTCTCTATATGGATCAGTTCCTGTAGGATTCCTGCGTCCCACGCAACTGCAAGAAAACAGGGGAGGACGAGAGGAGGAAGACGAAGACGCGACCGATCGACGGGATCGATGCACATATATGCGCAGAAGGAGGCGTGAAGTGGAGAAGGGACGTCGCTTAGGGGAGGCTCTACTTGTCGATCTGCCCGAGCTTGCCGAGTCCGTTGCAGTTGGCGCACACGATCTGCGCCTGGTCCTTCCTGGCCGCGTTCGCCCGCAGCGTCGAGCCGGACTTGCGCACGAACCCGGCGCCGTCGCACTCGGGGCACCTGCACGCACGCATGCGGCAAAAGAGTATCAGCGTGCCACATCAAAGGCCATGCAAGATCTCGATTTGGTCCTTTTTCATTCGGCCACGTACGTGTCCTTGCGGGAGAAGAAGATGGGGAAGGCAGTGCCGACGAGCGCGACGGCCACGGCGCCGGCGATGAGGTACGTGTTGCCCTCCGCCCCCACGTCGCCCACCGCGCGCGCCACCGTCGCCATCCTGCCCCCCGGCGCGGCTCTCCTTATCGACGGCAGCTGGACCTGGACGGCGCTGCACGGCGCCGCGCGCCGCGCCGGCAGGAGCCCGGACGAGGGCGCACTGCTGACGGCGGCGACGGCGGGAGAAGGAGCGGCCATTGTGTTTTTGCCTGGGTTGTCCGCTGGATCTGCTGGTGAAGTGAAGCGAGGCGTACGTAGCGCTAGCGGAGTGATATGGATTGGACTGCGCGCGCGCGGCGTCGATCTGCGGCCGCACAAAGCTGAAAGCTTCTTCCTTCTAGGGAAGATAAGATGGATACGTGCATGCCGGGATAGCCACTCCGCTCCACCGAGCTCAGATAAGGTGGGCCCGGGTTTCTGACCGGCAGTCGGCACGGCGGACAGCGGACTGCTCGGTCACTGGAAGCTCACACAAAGAAAATGCATGCACTGATTCTGGGGATTTTTTTTTAATAATCAGCTGCTCAACCACATACTACTACTACATACACTGCTTTCCAGAGAATTAAAAGTTTTACCAAAAACCTGAATCAGAAAGCTGAATCAGAATCATGCAGCAGCTCATCAGAATCAAGAACCAAACGGAAAGACATCCAAGATACCGAGTTTGAGAAAGCATGCATGCATGGTGGCAGCTTGGACATGTAGTAGACGATCGAGGGGAGAAGAGATGCATTCTTGTCGTTGACAGAACAATTAATCAGGCGATGTTTCCATGAGCTATATATAGAGAGAGGAACGGCAGGATGGTTTATCGGCACGCAGTTGGACTGGTATAGCGGCCGGAACATTTCATCGGGATGATGACATTTCCTTTGCCATCATGTCGTCATCTCCCCACACTCTTCCCCCAACCAGTCATGCATGTGGGCAGATTTCCAAACCTTTGCTTGGCAAACTCTTTCATACCTCGAAACCCTTTTTTTTTGCTGTTGAGAAAATCGAAACCTTTGGTAAAACCCCGTATACCGGGCTATAATGGAATAGGACATGTGGGACATGAGTGTCGTGAATGAAATTCACAAAACCGTAGCCGCGCAACCCACACTCCGCTCATTCTCTCCCTCGCCCTGCCCCATTCGGACACTCCCACAAAATTTCTTTCGCTCGGTCCACTCCTAACGAGATCCACGGAAGAGGTGCGTGTATTTCACCCACGGGTGCCATTTACCCGACGGGGTGGTGGGTGCGGAAAGAAATCTACACCAGGGTGCGTGCGGGTTTGGGTGACCAGCCCCTGCATACAACGAAGCCCTGTGCCATTTACACGCGTAGATCACCTCTATTGGATTAGGTTTAACTGGCGCAGCCTTGCTATTCTTGCTAGGCCATTTGGCCGAAGTTTTGCAGCCCTTTTTTCATAAGTCTTTTTTTCCCTTATAGAAGTTTTTTCTGAAGTCATTTGCGATACAATACACATGATATATGACGTTATAAATCTCATATGTGTATCTTTCCGACTATCAAGACAAGTACTTTGATATCATAGATGGGTGATACATCTAAAACCATCTACTTTCCGGATTACTTTGCTCATTATTTGTCATAATCTTGCTCTGATAGAATGAAATTAATTACTGCGGATGATATTTTAAACAAGAAAACAGTGTTTCATTTATTCCCCTTAGTGGCCAAGGTTTTGGCTACCAAATATTTTTTTTCTACCATGGTTACCAGAAATACCGCTCAACTTTTTCAAAAGAATTTTGAATTCAAATGCATGTTTTAATCTCGATATAAATTGGTATTGAACTTCTGTTGTTCAGTAACTTGCTATTGAAGCAGTGGTAGTCCTCTACACCCGTGTTGTTGCGGGACCCGAACCAGGACCTATTGAACTACTAATATGGAAGGCCCAAATATACCACTACACCATCACTGGTTATCTGGTCTACGAGTGTTTCCACTATAGTCAACTATACATTTTCTGTTTAAACTAGAAAAAATAAAAAGAAATTTGGCATGTTTTGCTCAGTACGTGTTTACCACGGGGTAACGAGATACACAGTTACCAGTTAGTAACCCGCCAGCTAACCAAAACCTTGGTGGGGACCTGCAAATCTAGCTACATGGGAAGATGACTCTTGTGTTTGAAGGGGGAAACCGAGGATGGGAGGTAGCAGTGACGTGGGTGGAGGGTGGGAGTTAGGCTGTGGCAAAGGGACTAGAGGGGCAGTGACCAGGGTTCACCTTTGCAATCGTGAGAGCTCATGATGCAAATTTTACACCGACTTCCTTGGAGATGGAATCTTGGCATGTACTCTATCTGTAAACTAATATAAGGGCAACTCCAACGCGCTGAGGAGACGGGCGCAGTTTTTGTCCGTTTTCCCTCTGTTTGGGAGTACTACTCCCTACGTCCTATAACACAAGACAATCCATTGAAAGAAGGATGTAACATGCCACTCTATGTCTATCATAATACACATTTTCGGGGATGCTGACTTCCTACTGAATCCCATTGCTGACCCTTTGAATGGTCAACCATAAGTTTCTAAGTCTCCCCTAGGTTCACAAAATTCAAAAATTATAGTAATAGGAAAAATACAGAATTAGAGTGGCATGCCCACAAGAATCCTACGAGATTGAACTAATAACAAAGTTTGGTTGACTGCACTACACGAAAAATAAACAATTTTTTGCAAGATATTTACGTGGATAGAAAATACCCTTGAAATGTAGTGCAAAGGAATCTGTATGAAATTTCCTACAGAACCTTATCCGACAAACATAGGGATAAGTATGTACTAAGAATTAAATCTATCGTATTCCTGTTTAACTAAAGAATGCTTTTATTACCACGGCATCTGCATCATAGATGCATATAGAATAACTTATTACAATGTTTATTACAAAGTTGCTATACAATTGGCTTCGCTGGAAAGAGAGAAGACCAAAAACACAAGACAATCCATTGAAAGAAGGATGTAACATGCCAACCAAGATTATTATAAATACTAAGAAGCCTGCAAGGTATCCAAATAGGGTTATAAACTCCATAGTAGTCCACTCAAGTTTCTTGGCGCCAAGCTCCACCGGCTCGGATATTTTGTAGCAACGTCCATGCCGCAACCAACTGCTACACGAATATTAAATGTTCTTTTGTCAAGACAATGCCATTTATGCATAGCCAAATAGACTAAAATCTCACTACTGCCCCAATCAAAATAAGTTGTCTCAGTGATTTATCTACCTCCCACAGTCAAGACCAAAAAATATGTGAAATGATACAAGGTGAGGTGATATTAGAGGCCAAGTATACAATGCATGATACAATACGTGCTAAACCACAATAAAGGAGATGTTGGATAGTTTCATATGCGTAACATAAGCTACATTCTGTGTCCCATTTAAACAAGTAGTTTTTTTTAGTAAGAAAAGACACTTCGATTCTTAGATGTAGTTTAAAGCGCCATAATCACTTAGATTTAATCTGACCCATATATCCATTGAAGAAAAGTACATGGAGTATACAAGAACGACCCCAGTAGTATGAAGATCCCACTTAAATGACTCGTGCTCCTAAGTTAGTTGCACCTTCCCAGCCTTGAGGACCATATCATTGTACTCCGCTAAATGCCGCTAAATGACAGCCCAAAAAAGTCTAGTGGGTTTTCCACTCGAAGAACAACAATTACAGTGGCATCCTTCTAAGTAACAATATTAAATAATCCACCTAGCTAAAAGGAGGATGTCCCCAATCCATTTGTCCTATGGAAATCTCAATGATTCTTCATTCCCTACATTAAACGTACTAAATAGAAAGAATGTGTCCTTAACCCTCATGATACCCTTCCAAAACGTATGTCCATTGGGTATAACTTAACCGATTTAAGTGGTTTTTGACCCCAAATAATTTTTCACAAGAGCGACTACCAAACACCTGCCTTGATTAACAATTTGAAAAACCACTTACTCAATAGTCCACTTATTTTCTACTTCCAATTATTGAATCCCGAGGCTGCCATGGCCCCTAGGAGTACACAAATCTCCCATTGTGCTAAATAATATATTCATTTATGCTGAAGTGCCAAAAGAAGCGAGATGAATAAAAAGATATCCACTTCCAAAGCCCTTTCAGGATCAGAAAAGGGGCATCATGAACGCCCACTATAGGATACGTTTTTGGACAACCAACTACTAAGATGTTTCTCAAAATGATATTTGATTACCTTGAAATCCCGCTTACGAAGCTCTGAAATTCATATGAAAATCCTTGTTTCACTGCTCGACAGCTAATAGAGGTTTCTTGTCTTCCCACTTGTGTAATCTTTTCATTGCTTCGGCTACCTGCAATGCAATCAGACCAGAAGATAGCTTTTAAAAGTAGGGAACTATATCTAAAGTGCTAGATTATAATCCAACGCGGGTGAGAAATAATATGAACATAATTTATATTGCAATGTGGCTATGTGAGCATAGGGTGTAGTGGTAATTTTTTGTTGCTTTTAACTGCCTAATATATAACATATTTATTAGTATTGTGTTTTTGGTTAAAAAATTATGAATATCACGGTGTTCAACTACTATGTGTCTTTCCGTCAAAACAAAAACTACTGTGTGCCTTGCTGAACCTAATGTTATTGTTCTGTCATTGTATCATGAACTCATGATTTTTTTTTACTTCCCATAGGTACACATGTACGTACCTCATTGTCCCAGTTTGTCCTAAAGGTAACCCACACTAGGATCACAGTCTGCATCAGAGTACCTCCAATCATACCGCACCATATGCCCTACATTTTTTGTTATCCACTCATCAAAAAATGCATGAATTATCAGGCGGTGTAAAGGTATAAAGAGCCTTGCACGGATGGAGGCCTTACCGTCGCGCCGAGGTCAAAGTAGAAGCCAAGGATGCAACCCAAGGGGACGCCGACGACGTAGTAGCATCCCACGTTGACGTAGGCGACAAATGCTTGCCAACCGCAGCCCACGGCCACCCCTGCATATGACTATCCACGTTAGTGTTATACTACTAAATTAACTAACCGAACGACTAGGGAAATGTTTTCTGTTCACCTGACAGTACGGGTTGGATGCCGTTGAGGATGACAGTTAGCGCTAGCAGCGGTGTCAGCTTGGATACCGCCGCTGCCACCTCCTCGCCGTCAGCATAGATGTAGCTGATATAGTCGCGACAGAGCAGGATGACCACCGAGATTATCAGTGACAAGGTGAAGGACACCATCGTCCCTACCACCACCGAGAACGCCGCTGACTTGGGGTTTCCAGCTCCAAGCTCATTGCTGACCCTCACGCTGTAAATGTTATAAACACACACTGAAACATTATATTTCTCCATGTTGTTAATCCTCTTGCCAAATTGGTTGTGTGCATCATGCTATATAGAGGCTGAATATTCGCCCAGTGGGGTTTTATCAGCTCCATATAACTGTTCAATGAAATTTCCTTTAATGGAAAGAATCCTCAGTAACTTTTTCCCTCAAAAGGAAAAAAGAAACCTTAGTAACTTTACCTGGCTGCTGCGTTGAATCCAAAGGAGATCATGATTGCCCACCCTGAAATGGTCATGCTGCAAACACACAAGGACATTAGATTTATAAGCTGAGCTATACATACCCATAATCATAGCTACTAGTAGTTAAAGATTTTCATTAAAATAGAGTGATTACCAGATTGAGAGCGACGCAAGCGACAATTCAGGGTTCTTGAGGAGGCCAGCAATGAGCACGAGAATCTGGAAGTACCAAGCTTCAAGACAGAGCATGACGGCAGAGGCAATGGATAACCGGAAAAACTGGGGCAGGCCAGAGAAGGCCCTCACGGAGAACCCAGTCCACGTGAGCTGGCACCGGCTGCTGGTGACAACATAGATGAACTGCGCGATGACGATGATCCACCAGCTGGCGCTAAGGATGATGGAGGCACCCAAGATCCCCAGACCCAACTTGTAGACGGCGAGGTAGCTGAGGACGACGTGGACGACGAGCGTCACGGCGGAGATGTAGGCGCTTGGCGCCATGATGCTCTGCGCCTGCATGAACTTCTGGATGGGGAAGTTGACCGCATAGGCAAAGATCTGCGGGATGAGGCCGTACACGAAGATGCCCGCGGCGCGGGCGATCTCCGGTGACTCGCCGAGGAGGATGAGGATGGGTTGGGAGAAGGCATAGAGGGCGGCCAGTGGGACGCCGGTCGCCATGAGCAGGACGATGGAGCGTTGCATATAGATGCCCAACATGTCAAACTTGCTCGCGCCGTACGCCTGCCCGCACAGCGTCTCCACCGCGCTCCCCATGCCAAGCTGCATTTGTTGCCCAGTTCGTCAATTCCATGTAACCTATCTATATATTTATTTTTTATCTATTATTTATATGATTAGAACTAGCAGAATGATGTCGTAAAAGAAATCAAAACGATGCCTGGTGTGGCTGCTCTAGTAAAACTAGATGATGCCCCACGTGTTGCGGCGAGAACATGTGAAAATTTGAATATGACACTAAATATTAAAAATAAACATTATTATAAGTAATATTTCTTATACATGTTGGCATATATATTGGGGTTGACGTGATGTGTGCATGTTGACAAAATTAGTATAGATAGCGTTTTCCATGCATGCATGCATGCTTGAGAGAAATAAAAGCAGTAAAGTTGATGAGATGGTGTGTGATGAGGTGACATGTATATATGTTAAGATAAATAGAAGTGGTGGGATCAGCTATTTAAGTATATAGGATCTGAAAGCAGCAAATCATTTCGAGTTGCCGATAAGTCGCTTTAGTTGCAATAACTAATATACACGAGTTGTGCAAAACCAACATAGGGGCAACCAGAAAGAATTGCCAATAAATGGAGTGAGTGACAAGAGTGAGTGATGAAAGAATTTCCAATAAAAAGAGTGAGTGATATAATAGAATATTTTTTAATCCAAATATAAAATCCATATAGGTTCACACGCGTACGACTTGCTACAAGTATAGATTCACACGCGTCAAAGGAGAAATGGACAGATGTAACGCAACGTGGACATGCTACAAATATAGAAATCCATATTATTATAGTTAGTAGGTGAACACAATAAAATCTGCACATGGATTGACACGCGTACATGGCTCGCCGAAACCCACAGCCGGATCGCGAGATAAGTTCGGTTTCGTCGGCAGCACGTGGATTCTGCTGGTGGACTTTCTTTTTTGCCCGATCATGAAGTAACACTCGTACTCTACTGACTAATAACAGTACTGAGCACCGACATTAGAGCGGCGATCAACTGTTTGGACGTGGTTAACTGAGAGACGTGGTGGTACTTACCATGAGGCCGTAGGCGAACATCTGGACGCCGGTGTTGCCGAGGGAGGCGGCGGCGAGCTCCAGCGTGCCGAGGTGGCCGGCGAAGATCTGCGTCGACATGGACATGAGGTAGTTGATCATGTACACCAGCACGGCCGGCGCCGCCAGCCGCGCCAGCATCGGCAGCTCCACCGCCGTCGCGGCGCACATCCTCCGCGCCCACGGCCCCGACATGTCACCCAGGATGCTCTCCAGCCGCCGCTCCCCGCCGTCAGCGCCGGCCAGCGGCGGTGCCGACTGCGGCGTCGGCAGCAGCAGCGGGCTCTGCAGCTTGCTATCGTTGCTCTCCGCAGCGTCCATGGATAGCACCGGCTGTGAGCAACTGCGGAGGTGGAGAGAGTCGGCTGTGATCCACTCTCTCTCGCGCGCGCTCTTATGAACGCAGCGCGAGCGCGAGGTAGACGAAGACACGGGTATGAGCGAGCGAACGCAGCCACCGGAGAGTGTCGGCCGTAATTCGCGCGTCTTTTCTGTCTTCTCTCCTACTCCACAGCCGCAGCATCACAGATAACAAAAAGGATCGCCACGACCCAGTTTATGCGCGCGCCATCCCACGGGCCTGGAACGTGCCAAGGGTCTGGTGCTACCAGCTAAGCCTTGCGACTAGAAACTGTAACACCTCACCCTCAAGAAAAGATAAAGAAACCATCACACATCACGTTTCTGTCGAGCATGGTCGACAAGTAACGTCATATGGTGCATGTGAACTTACGATCACGTGTAATTAGAGGTACACTAAGGTCAGTAGTAACGTCAATCTTTTTAATCTTACTTTATTTTTTCTAAGAATGATGCAGATTGGTGAAACAAATAGGTTTTAATATGCTTTTCTAGTTAAAGAGATCAACCATAATCTAGACGAACGTGGTTCTTTTATTACTCATATTGGACGTAGTCAAAATCTAGCTAGTCATTTTAGGGCCAACTTCAAGAGGGCACAAATTCTTTTTTTTTTTTTTTGCGGGGAACTTCAGGAGGGCACGAGTTCAAACTGCCGTATGGCTTGGGTCAGGACCAAGGAAGTATTTGACATTGTACGTCGCGAGTAATAAAATAATTATTCACAAAAAGTTCTGCTCCGGTGTACGCACGCCCAATTTTGTCTCTGAGCTCCAGGTTTGTGACACATTCTTTTTCAATTAATTACCCAAACTGTTGTCACCCTTTACCACATTTAATTAATGTATAGGAGTATTATTTTACGTTCTGGCTGGTCACCCTTACAGATCCAACCAGTTGATGCGTGAGTAGCTAGCAGTAATGCAGCACTGTTGCATGGGCGACTGTACGTACGTACGTGGCCTGTGGGCATGGAACGCTTGCAAGTGCATCGTGCATGCATGCGTGTGTACGTGCTTCATGGGCAACTGTGGCCTGTGGCCCCAGCTTTCTGGTTTCTGCCGGGTTATATGTGGATGGTTGTCGGTGCAGGCTGGCTGCACGCCGGATCCATCCATCATGGAAATGGGCAAGGCACGGGAGGCACGTGCGTGCATGCATGGGCGAGGTGAACGGAACAGAGACCGGATCCACGGTCTCGTGCAACCGTGCTCCGTCCGATACTCTGACAACCGTCAGATCTAATCACCATGCACATGATCACCTCCTTACTTCCTGTAACAATCACTCAGTTTCGAAAACAAATTCCCCTGTCCGCCATCCTGACGTAGCTGCGTCCAGCGCGGTGCCAACCCCCACCACCACAAAATCGTTGCCGCCGGCGCGCCGGCGGAACTAGTCCTTGTCGTGCTCGCCGGAGTTGCTGCTCCTCCTCCGTCTCTACCCCGCGAGCAGCTGCTAGCTCCAATCGAGCACGACGGCGACGACCTCTCACGTCTGACGCTTCTTCGGCGTTTTCTGCAACCAGAGCTATGTTTTCAAAACATGACTCATGTTGCAATGTCTGACCACTCACTCTCTAACGTCCGGCGCTCCTGCAGCGCTGCAACTCGGGCTATGTTTCTGAAACAAGATCCTTGTTGCAGAAAAAACCCTTCACAACCAAAACATTTCTTTTCTTTCTGAAACAAAAGATATGTTGCAGAAATCTTTTGAAACAAGACCCCAGTTGCAGAAAAAAAAACCTTCACCACCGAATCATTTTTTCTTTCTTTCTGAAACTAGTCATGTGTTGCAGAAATCTACTGAAACAAAACCCTTATTAAAAGAAAAGGACTGGCCACGCAAACTGACGTGTGGCCAGCGTGGCCGCTTGATCAAGATTGATCTGACGGCTACGCAAGTAGCGGATGCTCACGCGTGCATTAGCCGGCTGAAGGCAAGCTTTTCCCAAGAAATAAATAAACTACTTAAAAGAGGGAAACAGTAGCATCAATTTGGTTAAATCCATTATAAAACAGAAAACAATATATTAAATGCCGTAAGATTAACCTATCTTGAACCTGAAACTTTGGGATAAAAAATAGACTTCATTTTAAACCGCTTAAGCTGAAGCCTTGGTCGTAGAAGATGCAGCGTCCTCACTACAAATATGCACTAGTGGTTGGGGCGCCACCCGGTGGCGCCTCTTGAGGCGAGCTTGTGCGCACTAATCTTGCTATCGTATTTGTTAACGTGTCTGTTTGACAATAGGTTTAGTTTAGTGAGAAGACAGGCAGCACAGATGATACAACAACAAAACCCCGTTACACGTATCTAACCGACCGCGTACCCCTCGGGTCGCCCCCGTGGGCGACCAGGGGGAAACCCTAGCCGCCGGCGCCCGGACTCTCCCGCATCTCCTCCATCCTCGCCGCCGCCAGTAGCGCCGCCGGGCGAAGCCAGGCCGGCAGGGGCGGCGGCGGGGCTCCCTTCCCCTTCCCCCGAATGGGCTGGCGCGGGACGGCCAATCGAGAGGAGGCGCCGTATTTTTGCGGGGTGCGGCGGCGCTGCAGATGGATCCTGGCCGCGACGTGCACTGCGCGCCGGCGGTTGGGGTTCGTGCTCGCGGCGTGGTGCGGCCGCTGGATCTGGTGGTTGCGTGCGCCGTCGGTCTCGGGTCCGTTTCTTCGGGATCCGGTGCCTGATCACCGTCGGCCGGCGCAGGATGGTGGCTTTCGTCGCTGCCAGGTCGAGTCTTCCTTGATCCGGTGCCTGGGTGGATCTACGCCGGAGGTGTTGAGCCTTATGGTGCTTCCCTCTCTGGAGTTTTCGGGTCTTGGCTGCTGCCAGATCCAAAGCAGATGGAGATTGGTTGGACAGGAAGAGGACCGGAGGAAACTTTGGTCGGCTAGCTCGGCCCGGCATCGGCGACGGCTTTGACATCGTTACCCATCTTGATGGCGAAGTCGAGGTCCCTCCTATCCACCTCCGTTCCGTTCCCGGACGAAAGTCCAAAATCCGTCTTGGATTGGACGGCGGCGGCGCCCTTTGCGTCGTAACCTCCATGGAGGCGCCGTCTTGGGAGGCTTGGGCGTTTGGGGGAGTTGCTATGGGTGAACGGCTTCGTGTGTCAGTTCCAGCAGCGGCAATGGTGTGGTGGTTGGCAGGAGGAGCGGTGTTCTAACCGCGTCAGATGCGTCTGGTAAGAGATGTCAAGTCATACCTGACCGACAGGTGCTACGCTGTGTCATGCCTAGTCGGCAGGTGCTACGCACGACAGATCTTTCAGAGTGTCCGCGTCGGGATGGACGAGCGCAGAGCGGTGGAGCTGTCTGGCGTCATGGTGGCATCGACGGTAGCTAGACCGTGCAAGGTAGATGCAACAGTACAGCTCTGAAGATGGTTTGGTGGCAGGTGGCTGCGGTGGCCTCATACCCGGCAGGCGTCCTGGTTGAGGAGTGAGCCGGACTGGTAGGTACCCCATACCCGGCAGGCGTCCTGGTTGGGACCTCAGGTCTTAGATGTTTAGGTTTGGCTGTGATGTCTGTTTGGTATTAGGCCCAGACTATCAGCGCCCCTTCATCGATTGGATAGGTGTAGCGACAGTTGTTGCTGAGAAAGTGGCTTTAGTCTTGCTGTTGTATGTCTTTGTAAGGTCTTGTGAGAATAATTAATAAAGTGGCTGTATGCATCGCCCAGATGCAGAGGCCGGGGGTCATCCTCCTTTTCTAAAACATACATAAAATAGATCAAGCTTAGAAGCTGACATGAGCATCTTGGTGCTGGGAAAATGAATTTAGTTGGCTCCATTGCTTACAGGCAATTGTGTTAGGCTGCATGTAGATTTTTACATTATTTTATACAGTGGTAATTACAAACAAGATTGGTTAATACCTGTTTATTTCCAATTTATGAACAAAATCTTATTTCAAGTTTCAATACTCAAGTTGGGAAAAGTTCCTGGTTAGAAAATACTGTGCATGCTCTACAGTTTTTCATGGTCAACTAAGATCAAAACCACCGAATCATGTGTAATGCAATAATTCAGAAGTACAACATGGCCTAGAAACGCCATAAGAATAAGATGACTTTAAGGTTTGATGCGGTAAACAAAGAGATGGCAAACAAGTTCAACAGTTTAGTTGCAAGGATCTAATTTCGAAATCAGATAAGAGACCTTCTAATTTTTTTTATTAACCAGCTGGAAGATAAATTAGTGCCCCCTGTCTGAATAAGTATAGTATATCACAACAGAACCAACAACAACAACAACAACAACAACAACAACAATAACAACAACAACAACAACAAAGCCTTTAGTCCCAAACAAGTTAGGGTAGGCTAGAGGTGAAACCCATAAGATCTCGCAACCAACTCATGGCTCTGGCACATGGATAGCAAGCTTCCACGCACCCCTGTCCATAGCTAGCTCTTTGGTGATACTCCAATCCTTCAGGTCTCTTAACAGACTCCTTCCATGTCAAATTCGGTCTATCCCGCCCTCTCTTGACATTCTCCGCACGCTTTAGCCGTCCGCTATGCACTGGAGCTTCTGGAGGCCTGCGCTGAATATGCCCAAATCATCTCAGACGATGTTGGACAAGCTTCTCCTCAATTGGTGCTACCCCAACTCTATCTCGTATATCATCATTCGGGACTTGATCCTTCCTCGTGTGGCCACACATCCATCTCAACATACGCATCTCCGCCACACCTAACTGTTGAACATGTCGCCTTTTAGTCGGCCAACACTCCGCGCCATACAACATTGCGGGTCGAACCGCCGTCCTGTAGAATTTGCCTTTTAGCTTTTGTGGCACTCTCTTGTCACAGAGAATGCCAGAAGCTTGGCGCCACTTCATCCATCCGGCTTTGATTCGATGGTTCACATCTTCATCAATACCCCCATCCTCCTGCAATATTGACCCCAAATACCGAAAGGTGTCCTTCCGAGGTACCACCTGGCCATCAAGGCTAAC